TTCCCCAAGTGCACACTCAACCTCCCTAAGAGGTGAGCATGCAATGGCATTCCAAGCCTTGATAAGGCAGCCACGGCAGCAACCTGCAAGCAGCCAGCTACCATTTAAACCATTGGATGAGAGTGCCTAAGATAGAAGGAGAAGTCAGAATTTTTTTTGGGCTGATTTCTGCCCAATAAAGCTGCTGCCAAGGCATGCTATGGCATGCAAGCATACTCTAAACCCCTAGCCCATACTTGTAGATGACAATTCCAAGCAAAGAAGAGAAAATAAAATAAAAATAAATTAAATTCTCCAAGCTCTCCTACATATAGAACACAATCCAGCCCCTTTGCTTTGTACTACACGGCTGAGAAAAGAGAGAGAGGGAGGGAAAGGAGAGAAGAGAAGGGAAGAAGGGCCAACACTTGGGATCGTTTTACCTCACTAAAGTAAGAATACATCACCTCCACCCTCCCTTAGATTCTTCTAACTAAATTTATGTAATATATATGCAAGCCTAAGCATGGTTAAGTCATCTATAGCAACATAGTCCATGCATGTTTAAAACTTTGATAGGATGAGAATTTCATTGTGCTATAGTTTCATATTCCTTCTTGATATAAATATATGGCTTAGCTATTGTTCTTTTTATGTAATTAATATTCTCCATTGTTGAAATAATCTTGCAAAAGAGTAAAATGAGATGAGAATGACCCCTTTACTTGAAGTATAGATTTTTCTCACTGTTTTAGACTTTATCGGGCGAAAAGAGAGCTCTAATAAATTGAAATTAATTAATGGATATTCTGTTTTTCCAAGCTAGCCAACCAAAAAAGAGAACTTTGGGGGGAAGTGCATTATACCAGATAAATTTACAAATTTGTAGAAGAGGGCCATGCTGGGAGCTGCTGAAGGAGTAAAGAGCAGATACAGAGAAAGAACCATTGGCCCAAACAAGACAATCCACCATGTCTAAACACAGAGGGGGAGAAGAGGATAAGACAATAACAAGTCGAATTTCTTCAAGTAATTCCCAATCATAAAGCTCTCTTCTGTATTGAAAATTCCAATTATCTGAGCTGGATTTTCTGTGGTAGAAATAATGAAGGGATCCTTCCTTTTCAGTAGTGAGGTTGTAAAGAAGAGGGAATTCAGATTTAAAACAGAGCCCTCCACACCATTTGTCATGCCAAAATAAGATTCTAGACCCATTCCCCACTTTAATTAGACAATTAGCCAAATAGAAGTTGAAGATGTTCCTGCTAGAGGCCCCAATGGAAATGATATCAGTCCACAATCTAGAGTGTTTATAATGGGGTTCGTGAGGAGGATACCAACAGTTTTCATTGATTTTATATTTGCTACAGATAGCCCTTCTCCATAGCGCATTGACTTGATTCCCAAACTTCCACCACCATTTGAGAAGTAAACAGGTATTCACATCTCGAATCCTTCTTATACCTAGACCCCCTTGATTGACAGGCTTTGTTATATCCACCCATTTCACTAGATGAACTTTCCTCTTTAGATCATTGCCACCCCACAGGAACAAAGCTTGAATCTTCTCAATTTCTTTCGCAACTCCCCCAGGCATCTTAAATAGAGAGAGGTAGTACGTAGGGAGGCTGGATAGAACAGACTTTATCAAGGTTAGTCTACCTGCGAAAGATAGTAATTTCCTCTTCCACCCTGCAAGCTTGACTTTGATTTTGTGAAGAACTGGTTTCCACATTGATTTCCTACCTGGATTGGCTCCTAATGGTAGTCCCAAAAATTTCATTGGGAGTTTATGCACCTTACAATTAAGGAGATTTGCAAAAGACAGCAACAGGTCATCCGACACACCAATCCCGCACACAACGCTTTTATGATAGTTGATTCTAAGGCCCGATAGAGTTTCAAAACATCTAAGAATTCGTTTGATGACTACCAACTGGTCCCACTCAGCTTCACAAAAAAGAATTGAATCATCTGCAAATTGGAGATGGGATAAGAGAACCTCATTAGCCCCAAGCTTCACTCCTTTGAGAGTGCCAAGATTAAGTGCTCTGTTGAGAAGAATGTTGAGCCCTTTCGCTGCTATATTGAAGAGGAATGGTGAGAGTGGGTCACCCTGCCTAAGACCTTTTTGTGGTGAAAACTCCTTAGTTGGTGATCCATTTACAAGAATGGATAATCGAGGTGAAGAGACACAAACTTTCATCCAAGAGATCCATTTAGACCCAAATCCAAAACTAGAAAGCATGGAAAATAAAAATTCCCAGTTAACCGAATCAAATGCTTTCTCAAAATCCAACTTTAAAATTAGCCCCGACTTCTTGGACTTCTTCCAGCTGTCTACCACTTCATTAGCAATGAATACTCCATCTAATATATTTCGCCCTCCAAGAAAAGCAGTCTAAGTTTCACCAATAATAGAGGGCATTACTACCTTCAGTCTACCCGTTAGAACTTTAGCCAATATTTTGTATAGAGAGCCCACAAGACTAATAGGTCTATAGTCAGTTATACCATTAGGATTCTCCAGCTTGGGGATGAGAGTAATGAAGGAACTATTGATGCCATACGCAAGCTTGCTATGGGAGTGAAAATCTTTAAAGAATTGCATGATATCCTCCTTCATGATCTTCCAATATTTTTGATAACACAACAGGTTGAACCCATCAGGGCCTGGAGCTTTATTGTTATTGCATTCCATTATAGCCGCCTTAACCTCATTCTCCTTGAAATCTGAAACAAGATGCTGGGAAATAAGACTTGGCTCAATAGAATTGAACTCCCCCCCCCAAAACAGGCCTATTTACCCAAGATTCAGCAAAATGACCCTTGAAGTGGAGCAGTACCTCCAGCTTAATCCTGTTAGGATCCTCATAAGATACCCCATCAACTGAGATAGAGTTGAGAAGGTTTCTACTCTGCCTAGTGGTAGCTGAGACATGGAAAAACCTTGTGTTTCTGTCACCATTCAAAGTCCAATTTAATCTGGATTTTTGTAACCATAACCAATCCACCATTCTAAAAAGCTTCCACACTTCACATCTAATCACTCTTCTTCTTTCTTTTTCTGTGTCAAGTAATGGTCTAGCCTCAGCTACTATGTCAATTGCATGCAATTCTTCTTCAGATTCCTTAAGCTTTGTGTTGATATTACCAAACACCTCATTATTCCACTTTTTTAGCACTAGCTTTAGAAGTTTCAGTTTTTGTACAATTATGAACCCAGCCCAGCCCGAAATAGTGGTATTGTTCCAGAAATTAGCAAGGAGCTTAGAGAAAGAGGGGTGCAAGGTCCAAGCATTAATGAACCTGAAAGGCCTTGGGCCCCAATCTCTTTCATCCTCCATCAGCAACAATGGGCAGTGGTCTGAAACTGACCTGGGTAGCCCCCAAAGCTTCAATTTGAAATTAATCAACCATTCAGGACTGAGCAGCACTCTATCAATCCGGCTCCACTTCTCTGATTCCTGGGCATTGCACCAAGTATATTTCCTTCCCAAAAGAGGTAGATCATTGAACTCACATGTTCCAATAAACTCATTAAAATCATTCATTCCTTTATCTCTTCTAGAACATCCCACCCTCTCGCCTATATGACTGATTTCATTGAAGTCTCCTCCCAAGCACCAAGGTTTTGTGAAGGAAGCCTTGAGATTAGACAGGTTTTCCCACAGTTTGAACCTGTTGGTAGCATCATTTGGAGCGTAGACATTTACCAAAACACAATCAAAGGAGTTATATAGAAGACCTGAGAGCAAAATGTACCTCCTAGTGCAGCAACAATCAGCAAGTTGAAAAACATCTGGATCCCATATGCAAAGGAGTCCACCAGCAGTGCCTTCTGGATCCACAGACATATACTCCATTTTCTTGCTCCCCCAAAGCCCTCTAACCACAATATCTGAGACCACAGCTTTCTTTGTTTCTTGAAAGAAAGCAATATCAATAGCTCTGTCCTTTAATAGCTTCTTGATTCTACTTCTCTTCACAGACTTTCCTAACCCCCTAATATTCCAAGATAAGAGCTTCATGATGAAACAAATAAAACACTCAGAATCCCCCTTCCACAACAACTTATTGTTTTGTTTTCCCATCTTTGATAAGTCTCTCCTTATCTTTTAACTCTAATTCAATAATCTTGGCAAGTACAACATCTTCTTGCCCATTAAAATTGATATCAAGAGTTTTCCCCAATTGGATAGTGGCTGTGGCTTCTCGGAGAAGGTAATCTTGGCTTGATTCAGCCTCAGACAAGTCTGATTGAGCAAGTGCAGCAGCTGCTGGTCTGTATATGACAGATTCAGAGCTAGATTTGTGAACCGCTTTGTGACCATAGAGTCTAGAAAACTTGGAATACCCTTCGAACTGTGCCTTTTTTTTTTCCTTCTATTCTTCGCATTCCGTAGAGAAATAGAGCTGTTAGCAGAAGGAGGTAATCTTGGCTTGATTCAGCCTCAGACAAGTCTGATTGAGCAAGTGCAGCAGCTGCTGGTCTGTATATGACAGATTCAGAGCTAGATTTGTGAACCGCTTTGTGACCATAGAGTCTAGAAAACTTGGAATACCCTTCGAACTGTGCCTTTTTTTTTCCTTCTATTCTTTGCATTCCGCAGAGAAATAGAGCTGTTAGCCGAAGGCCTAAAATGATCGGTGTGAATGTGGCTCAAAATGTCCTTGCTATTTGGGCCAACATTAATTAAAGGCCCAGGAGAAACCTTATGAGAGGCCATGATCCCAATGTTACCAGGCCTTAAAACACAATGTTCATTGGGCTGATCAATGGGCCTAAGTGAAGAACCAGGAATTACGTTATTACAAATCAATTGGGACAGATCCACCTCAAGATTAATGCCAATCTGGGAGCCCTCTTTAGATCCATTTAGACTATTGTTGAAACCAGATGTAGAAACTTGCTCTACACACCTCTGATTGTCATCATTGCGATTTGGCCTTAGCTCTGACTTCTCTTGTATCATTACCTCTACACCCGCTCCTTCCTCTCTGCAGCAGCTACCATCCCTCTATGTCTCCTCAACTACTGTGCTTCCCTTTTCTCTGTTGTGACAAGCTGAAGGCTCATTCGCCAGTGCTCCCATATGGTCACATGCCAGCTCAGCTATAGGCTTGCCACATGGTGCTGCCACAACTTCATCTGCCATATTATCACATGCCAGCTCAGCTATAGGCTTACCACACTGTGCTGCCACCTCATCATCTTCGTTTTTCTCCCTGCTATTCTCCTCATAGATATTTTCTTCCTCTTTACTACTGTAGCTCTCAATGGAGCTGCAAACTTCACCATTATGCTTCAAGATATTGATGTCTGCAATATGATCTTCGCACACAAGGATGTGGTAGAGTTGACCCTTGCACTCTAAGAAAATAGTTTTGTTAATAGGCTCCATATATGGTGTAGCCAATCTGATTTTGGCATAAGAGAAAGACTTTTGATGAGTAGTGTCTCCATCCAAACTAAGGACAGTACCCCACAAATTTCCAATGTTGTTGAAAGTGTTTCGGTTCCAAAAATTTAGTGGCACACCATAACACCTCAACCACAGGCACCTCTCTGGTTCATAGTGAAAATCTGGCTTCCATACCCCTACCGACTGGCTATAGTCCTTGAACCATTCCTTGATGTTGCAGATTTTAGAGTTCAACTCCACTTGGGAATTGAAGGTTAAAATTACATCACGCCCGCCTCCCTTTCTGACTAGCACCTGATCCAGCCCTTTCTCCTTCAAAACTGTCCTAATGTCACGCAAGGAATATTCATTCTTGAGCCTGATTATTGCACTCTCATAAAGCCAACCATGCCCAACTTCATCAACTTTTATGGCCGTGCTTACAGTTCCAGCTACCACAGGATTTTTTCCTTTTAGAACCTCTGCGTATGATTTTTGCCCTGCACCTGACGGATGGCCCCTGATGTTGCCTGTGCCTGAAAATCTGCTCATGGGTTGCGATCTCCTTTTACTGTGTTCCGCCCGTGAACCCCTTTCATGAGTAGCTTTTTTAACTTCTAGCTCTCTATCATCTACCAACAGCCCATTAGCTTTTTGGATAGCAATGTCAGCTGCAACAGAGCAACCGAAACTCACAAACCCAAATCTTGAGTTTGTCGCTACCCTTCTTTTGAAAGGTATATAAGCATCCTTCACGATACCAAACTTAGTGAAGAGTTTGAACAGGGATCTAACATCCATTGATTGAGGTAGGTTGTCCACAAAAATCGAAAAGAGTCCAAAGCTTGACTCACTGCGTTTTGATCCACCTCCATTCCGATGCCTCACTACCGGAATCCAACCACCATTGCCCCTCCATCGGTCCATAATCGGATATACTAACAGCTACTTGGTCACTTCTCACTTCTCAAGGAATATACGTGAAATATTTTTTATACATTAAGACCAAATTGACACAATTTAAATTTTGGAAATCACATTGACACAATTTAAATATTGAAAACAAAAATGACATATAATCATATTTTAAGAACTAAAAATATAATTAACACTAAAAAATAATACTAACAATAAAATTTGAACACCATACCCATTTGAAAAATAGTGAAAAAAAGTTTCCTAAAATTTGTTCAGACCTTTGGTTCAAATCAAACAGTTGAGTTATAAAGCAAACTAATACATAACATTCGCATGACTTATCCTCTAGTCATCTAAATGTCATTTACCTATTGAATTTTTAAAAAAATAATAATAATAAATTAATTAATTAATTAATTAAAAAAAAACACTTATGGAATATGAGAGTTGTAACAAGATGCAACTTTTCAAAAACACAAATTCTATGGACCATGAAAAACATAATCTGGAATTTATTCTGAATTTAAAATTTATGTGACGTGCGTTCTATCTAAAATGATTGTGATCCATATATATGTTTTTTTAAAGTATTTTTAGATATATTTTCTAGGTTTGTCTATTACTAATATTTTATACTATTTTTTTAGATGGAGATATTTCATACTATTGTTATGGACGAAATTTAATATTATTCCTAAATTAAGAATTCACTCAACATTTATGATTCTAACGGAAATAAAATGTCATATGAACCAAAACGCATGAGGCACTGGACGAGTTAAGAATACACAACATTCCTATGGTTTACCTCTCGTCATCCAAATGTCATGTACCCATTGAATTTTTGAACAAATGTACCCATTGGATTTGAACCCCCCCAAAAAATCAAATCTTTATTTTTATTATTAATTTTGTAATTATCCCTTAAGATTATTTCACTTCATATAAAACCTTTTAATAATAAACAAAAGAAAATTTCTAGAAGAAATTACCAAAAAAAAAAAATTTGAGATTATTTATTTGTACCAAAATAAATCATAAATTTTTAATTGTGTCAATTTAAATCCTAATCTTTTTAATTTATTTTAAATCTAAACCATCTATCTATTTTCATTAACTAAAAGTGACGAAAAAATGATATTTTAGTTATTAGAGTATTTTATATAATTTTTGTTAATGTATACCTATATTGAGTTTAATTATTAAATATAGAATTATCTAAAAGGTCTAGAATTATCTAAAATGTCATTTTTTATTGGGTTTAATGACTAAAATAATATTTTTTTTGTCAGAGTTAGTCAACAAAAATAAGCCAATCATTTAAATTGAAAATAAATTAAAATATGATTTAAATTGATAAAATTAAGAATTAATTAATTTTTTACATAGGAATCTATATAGTTTTTTTCAAAATTCTAGGAACAGAAGGGCATTTTTGTTTGGCCATGTAAGTGATGAGATTTATTTTAGGAAAAATTTCTATTTAAAGTATAATTTAAAAATTAATTATAAATTAATAACTATTCAAAGTATAATTTAAAAATTAATTATAAATTAATAATTAACTTTATTAGTATTAATAATTAAATTCTTAATTTTTTTATATATAAATTTATAATATTTTTTGGAAAACACTGACAATTATTTTTTTAAATAATTTTTTCAATGTTCTAATTTTTCCTTAATTAAATTTTTGGGTTAGACTTCCTTGTTACTGGGGTTGAAACACTTTAGAGTTTGTCTTGCATTCCCTAAATAAGTATACTTATTTACAATCTACCTACCATCATTTTAAAAGTCTGAGAAAGCCTAGGCGTTTTCTATCTACTATCTATTATCTCTTACTACTACTACTATTATTATTATTATTATTATTATTATTATTATTATTATTATTATTATTATCTATCTAAACTACTTTAAAATGAAATAATAATAATAATAATAATAATAATAATAAATAAACAGAACACCCACCCTGATTGCTTTATACTTTTTTTCCAATTTCTAAAATACCCTTCATAATATAAATTGATTAATACTTGAGGCCTCGAGTTCGAGGCCTTGAAAATGTCTCGAAATTTATTTTTATTTTTTTTGGTATGTGTTGGTTTTTGTTTTTAATCTTTTTTTTTATCTTTTATTTTTCTTTGTTTTTTGCAAGGGTGATTATGTGTATTAGACATTCCGCACTAACTCAGCCTGTATAATTTGATAAAGTCTAACCTAATTCACTTACCTTATCAAACTATAAAGGCTGAGTTTTTTTTTATTTTTTAATTTGTTGGGCTATGTTAGTTTGGTTTTTTTTTTTTTAACGTGGTTATATGTAGAGGTGTGCCAAAAAACTAAACATTCCGCACTAACTCATCGTATAAAATTATATAAAATTAACAAAATTTAACCAGCAGCTTAACTGATCAATCAACTAGATTGGACTGGTTGAGTGATAAAATTGACTGATTAGTTAGGTTATTGATTAAATTTTGTTAATTTTATATAATTTATACAATAAATTGGTGTGAAATATCTAATTTTTTGACACATTCCTCCACATAAACCACCCTTAAAAAAAACCAAATAAAAAAAAAAAAACTAACACACACAGCCACCACCCCAAAAAAAAAAAGTTGCCGAGGCAAATTCGTGGCCTCCGCTGATATAAATTTGCATCGACACACATATGTTGCATCTTCAACCATTGCCTGGATTACCAACCATTCCCTGCACTAACCAACACACTATTCTGCTCTATAAACAAACACAACAGTACTCAAGCCTTTAATATTGCATTTTTATTTTAATTGATAAAAGTTATAGTTATTATACATTTTTTTAGGGGGGAGGTAAACATAATTGATTTTAATTTGATCCATCACTATCGAATGCCAAATAACCGCCAACAATTCTTGTCAATTGAACGTGGTTCAACGTGGAATCCTAAAAATTAAATTTTTATTCTATTCTTAAAATGTATATATAAATACAAATATACATATATACAAAAAAAAGATATAATCATTTGCAAAATTAAATAAATAAATAATTCTAAACAAAAAAGAACACTCAGTCCATAAATACAATTTTGGATTTTCTTAGTTGTCCACATTCTAAAATACCTTATCCATAAGAACAAGTTTAAGTAAAAAAACCAAGCTACCCATATATGTATATATATGTATATATATATTATGTTATACTGCGGAAAAACAAATCAAACAACAACAATGCAAATTGACTCTCTCTCTCTCTCTCTCTCTCTCTCTCTCTCTTCCTTTTCTCAGCCTCACAGATCGTTGTCTCAACATGAGCCTTCGTTGGAACCCTAACCCTGAGCTCCATCGTCGTGTCTCTCCACTTTTGCAAGACCTTGTCGCAAATACCCGATCAGGGACGCATTACAGATGCAATTTTAGAACATCGTGCTCGACAAAGGAATCAATATGTCAGATTTACACTTGAACAGCAAAACACAATATATTGAAAATATTTCAAATAATTAAAAAAGGAAACACAAACGCATTTGACAATACAAACTTAATCTTTGAAAGGGCATGATGAGACAACCCAATGGATAGATAACTTACTATGAAATAATAGTTAACCTTAAATTATTTTTTACTATTATGTCAGATGTATTTGGCTTAGTATACAATGTTCAGCCTCTTTCATCGGTTACGAAAATAGAAGCAATTGGTAAATTAATGAAAGGAAATATTTATTTGATAGATTCAAGGCACAAACTATAATAACTATTAAGTTACAAAATAAAAAATACTAAAAGTACTGAAATTTTGTATTTTCCATTGTCACATGTCTCAATCTATTCTTCTCACATTACAGGGGGATGTAGCCCAAAACATAGGAGATTATAAAATTGAACAGATAATAAAATTTGGATAGATATTTAAACAAATAAGGTAAAAAATTGAATAGATAGTCAAAAAAGTTAAACAGATAAAAATAAATTTGAATGGATAGTCAAAAAAATTAAACAAATAGATAAAGGGTAAAATTGGAAATAAAATGTCCTCCTAAACAACAAAAGGATTTCTCACCAAATTATTTCACAAATGGTAGACCTCTCGCCAACAAAAAATAAGCACTGGATCTAATGCCTTATATCCTCTTTAGATTGGATTTTTCAACAATTTTCTCAACAAAAAATTCCTGATATTTTCAATCATATATTGAAATGATGAAATTCAAAATTTTAATTTATAGTTACCACGAATACCGGCTATTTATATATATTGTTATTATTAAATAATTAAAGATTAAATAAATTTTGCATTTAAATTTCAAATTTCAAATTAAAAGTTGTATAGTTAAAAGACACTATTTTGAATTGAATAGGCGTTTGCTTAAATTTAAAAGGTTTTGAATTTAAATTCAACCACTGCATCATGCACAAAAGTCATGAAGAGTCCTATTAAACCAAATGTCTTTTTTTTTTCTTATCATAAACATTGTTTTATTTATTTAACACTAAAAAACGATCAATTTCCTATTCCTCTGTTTCCAAAACTTTTATAACAAACGTATCTCCCTATTTTTTGAATTGATGATTGAACCATAAAATCTTTCTTATTTTCTCTATCTACTTCCATGTTACTGTACATATTATTTATAACTGTCTATCATGGATTAAACCGTTGTGAATATTTTGGATTGAATTTTAGTGTTATATTCATTTGTTTGAATCTACACAAAAATGCTGTAAATATTTTGAGTTGAATCTTAGAGTTATATGCATGTATTCAAATCTATATAAAGGGGACACATCCGGTTTCGTATTGCATCTCAGGAATTTATAGGCTATTTTTATACACTTTCTCTTTATTTAGATTTTTAGAATTGTATTGTTTTGCATAGTACTTTAATAATCCATGTATGTCGTCAAAATTTTAAATAATAATCACTTTCTTTGATTTAAGTTTTTAAAACTATATTTTTGTCTATATTTTGATTATACAATGTAAACACAACTGCACTAAGTTAATTCACAT